AATTTAATTTCAAAGTTTCTAAAGACTTTCCTGTCTGAAAATCTTATACTTTTTAATAGTATCATATATCTTCATTTCACAAATGAGGAAATTTCTATCTAGGAGTGAACAGCTTCTGAAAGATGAAAATAATCACATGTAGACCATGGCATTGAAAACCAACAATAAAGAGAAACACTGGAAGCAGCCAAAAACACAGCAAACTATATGCATGGAAACAGTGATTATGAGTGATGAAGTGACTTCTCATCAGAGATGGTAAAGCAAGATTCAAGTACTGAAAGAAAAAGTCCACTCAAAATTACACACACACACACACACATACACACACACACACACAGAGAGAGAGAGAGAGAGAGAGAGAGAGAGAGAGAGAGATACTCCAACAATTCAAGCTAAATATTTTTTCACATGAAAGAAAACTAATAGAACACCTCACCAGCAAACTAACACTACAAGAAATGATTCAAGCTAAAGGGAAATGATACCAGACAGAAACTTCTATAAATTTAAGAAGAAAGGGACAATGTTGGAAATGTCAATGATAGTAGATATAGCATATGCCACCCAGGATCTCTATCAAGGAATGAGTCTTTGTATTGATTACCAGGAGCACAACAGTGTTTGGTTTCTGGTGTCTTTGCTTCTGTTACTTTGCCCAAGGTCACATCCTTCTGGGACAGCTCACCTCCATCACTGAGCAAGATGGATATAAAGAGGACAAGCCATTCTGATCAATGCAAGGGCATTCTAGCTCTGGTTCTCATCGTAGGAGGAGGTGAGGTGACTAATTGAGACTGCGGATGGACTGCTTCCTCTGCCAATGCGTCATACACAAAACTGTATCTCAGAGTCTGAGTCTAAGAGAACCTGATAGCATCAGTAATTGAAGTACCATAGATATATAAAGAAAATCATTTCTTCAGAAATGCAAAAACTTCATGCTTCAATACTAGGCTTTTCTAGTATGCTTTCCTTAAACACAAACAATATTTTGTTCTTAGAACAGAATGTAAATTTTCAGAAATCCAAGACATAAGCTATAACTGGGAAAACTTTGAAACTGCTTAGTTTTCATGACTGAACAATGTCATTTCTTTCTAGGGAAAAAATGCAATGATTGTAAATGTGAGTACAATATTAATTTGTAATAATTCTTATTGCTATTACTTTAAAAGTAATTCTGGGGGTGATGGTGCATGCCTGTAATTCCAGCACTTGAGAGGCTGAGACAAGAGGATCCCTGTGAGTTCAAGGCCAGCCTTAGCTACAGAGTGAGTTCCAGGTCAGCCTGAACTGCATAGCGAGACCCTGTCTCAAAAAATAAATAAAATAAAAGTAATAGTTTTTTATTTTCTTCTTAGGAGCCATTAGTATCACATAGTCCTAAACTATTTAAAAATCACAGATCTGCTCTGAAGATCTGTAGTCAGGAATTAACAAACACCGGTAATACCAAGAAAGAAAAAAGAAGCAAAAATACAGTGCTGGTTACAATATTTTAATCAATGCATAGAGTTTGTCTACAGTGAACATTTCATTTCTTCCCGTGTTTTCATTGCCATGCTGGACCTACTGCCCTCCCTGAGTCTAATATCTCAACTCATTCTTCAATTTTACAAGTTTCTTTCCTCTTTTTTTAAAGTGAAGCATAAAATTTATAGCTCATATTGCCTCCATTCCCATTTTTCCTTATATTTATGCTTTCTGTTACAGAAAATTATGGCTCCTAGATCTCAAATTCAAGCATTTTTAGTACTTATTATTTTTAGCAATACACATTCACCTCATGAGATTATCTACTCCATAAGTGGTTCATAAACCCTGGATTTTGCTATATTTACAAGTACCTGTAGGAATTCCCCTCCTTTATCTACTCATTCCCTAAACTGAATTAAACATAACTCAATAAAGTCCCTTTTCAGCCACTAATGTGACATCATGGAACTTTCTAAAATAGGAATTGGGGTAGAAATTCTTGACTCCTGCTTCAAAATACATCTTTTACTAAGTACCACCACTACTCAAAGGGATAATGCTACCGCACTGTTCTCTGAAAAGTTTGCCATACATTATTTTCTGGTTCACAAAGCAAAAAATGGCTCTTCACTATCTACCTCATAATAACCAGCTTCCTCTGTTTAGTGGTCAAGGACCCTTGAAATTCAGCCTTATTTCTCACTATTATGTAACATAATTTCTGTTGCACCAAGCTACACTTCCTTCTTTCCTTAACCACCTTGCTTTTGTTCATGTTACATATTTCCTCCTCTCAATTTGTTCCTCTGCTTTCCCCCATTCATTCAGGCCTGTCATTCAAGGCCCAATTTAAGAACTTTCTCCTCCAAGAAGACTTCAACAAAGCCAACTTAGCATAAATTCACCTTTCTTCAGATTTTTCCTGAGTTCATACCAATTGATATTGATTTTAAATATTCCCAGTGTTTTCATCTTGGCTTTGTGATTTAGGCTTGCCTGATTTAGATTGCTAAAAACTTTTAGACACTATTTTCCACACACCTTCTGTACACATTCAGTGCTCTTTAAAAGGACTTTTATTAATTGCTGAAGCACAGATGCTTAGAGAAAAACGCATCTATAAACCATTATTATATATAAATGTACCCTATCATAAACTAGGAAAAGAAAATGGGACTGACATCAGTGAAAATAAATCCCTTCTTTTTCAACCTTTCTTTTAACCTCCTTTGCTATCTCTTACAAATCTGCTGAAACTACCAACCTGATCCTGATGTTTATCTCTTCAGTTACTTCCTGCCCTCTAGTGGAAGATAATGACAAATAAGTAAAATTTAAACCAAAGAAGAACAAAATAGAGTTCCTTCACAGCAACTCAGATTGGTAAAATCAGTAACTTTTATAAAAGGTGAAATGCTTATAATTGGGACAGCAAACAGTTTGAACACAAGCAAAGAACTCTGGGAGACTACAGGCAGAAAAACAGGAGGAGATAGCACAGAGTATAAGGTTTTGAAAAGGGGACCACATACAAGGTTAGGCACTTGCCTCTAAGGTAGATAGATGATTTCTGTTTAGTTTCCCCTATAGCATTGTCTCACTAAATATTGTCTACTAACTACCATATGGTGTGAAGCTGTAAGCAAACAAGTAAAACATAAAGTAAATCAATAAATAAAAATCCTATTGTTAGCTGGGTGTGGTAGTACACACCTATAATCTCAGCTCTCAAGAGGCTGAGGCAGGAAGATCACTATGAGTTCCAGGCCAGTTTGGGTTATCCGGTGAGTTCAAAGTTAATCTGAACTACATAGAGAGATTCAGTCTCTAAAGAAGTCCTATTCCTTACATTGAGGTTATTATCTGTCTTGCCCCTTGTGAATATATCTTGTATGTATTTGGTAGTATTGCTAGCAAAGCAGTATTAGTAAGAAGTATATAAAACGACTGCCCCAAGTGGTTCTTTTCTTTACTCTAAATCATTCCTTGATGAATTTATCACACCAAATCGCTGTTCATACAGTAATTTTTTTTCCTATCGTAAACCTAAACTATTTGATAACTTTATTGATACAGAGTACTTAGGAGATTTGATGTATGTAGTATATTCTAGTTGTGTTCAGAAATAGTTTTTAAATTTAAGTCTTTTAAAATTTGAACTATTTATTTTGATCTTGTTATATTTTTCCCACCAGTAATAGTTCAATTTGACATGAACAGTCTTTGCCTAAGTCTTGCATAGGTTTCTACAAGAGTTTTCTACAAGATCCCAGCTGTCAAAGTATTTAGATCACTTTTTTCAAGTAATAGTCCACCACGCTTATAACTATTGGTTTAACTTTCTCCAGGGGTATAATTATTATAGGTGCTCTTTAGTCAAAAGCATAAAGTTAAATATTGGTGAAAATTGCCCACTCAAATGTTTTGTGATACCCACATATAACTAAGTGTGATTCTGCCACTCAGTTGTTATACTCCACCTGGACAAAACCATTTGAGAAGCTTTGGTTTCTATCTTTGTAAAATGGAGAGCTGTCTCCATGTCTACTTCTCTGGTTTGCTGTAAGCATCAAAGAAAAAGTGTGTGGAAATTCTCAACAGAAAGATACATTCACAGAGCATAGTTATTTTATATGTGCTCACCAGTAAGATTAACATGTGATTTTTTTTCTTTTTGCTGAAAAATAGACAAAAATAATTGTGAAGTCATTCAGATGAGGGAAAATACCTTTTTCATCTTTAAATTATCAAATTTTTAAAATAAAAATTAACTACAGTGCGCCCTTGAAGCTGCCTCAGTTCTAGAAGTGAAACCTGAAAACTCCCTCCCACATCAACTCCCACCAATCTTCTATCATGAAACCAGGACACCCCCACAGTACCCCTAAATTCTCTTCAACTCCTACAGAAATCTAGTTGTGGAAGAGTGTGTACTTTGATTCAGAAAGTGTCTGCAACAGCCCACATATCTTCCAAATAAAATACAGACATGTATCAGACATGCCCGCATAAGTGTATGCATATTGTATTTTAAAAGCACCTAGTCATAGAAAGTAATGGAAAGAGATACTTTCCTAATTTATTCTATTGACTTCATGGACCTGACTAAGGTAAGGGAGGGTAACGTGGAGTATGGTAAGACAGGGTAGAGTATGATAGGATAGGATAATTGTTTAAATTTATTTTTTTAAAGGAAAAAGAAGATAAAGAGAACTCAGGTGAGTTTGATTGCAAACTATTTCATGTTTAACTTATCCTGCCTTATCCAAAAAATAGGAAGGGGGAGAAAGAAGTGACCAGCAAATTATAGAGATGGATATATCATAGAAAGCTACAAAATAAAATTAGTAAGACAAAGCAAAAAGTAAGAATGATAAAGCCAAAAAAAACTTGGGAGTAACCCACAATGTTCACAACTGCAATTGGCTCACATTGTATCATTTTAAAAAGCAAAGAAAGCTGATAAAAAGCTAAGACCAAGTCTCTCGCCAGTCCTTCTCCCAGAGAAAATTCAGACTCACCCACCAAGAAGAAGACAGCGATCAGGAGCAGCCCTAGATCAGAAGTTCTCGGGGGGCAAAGCATTTCTGTTGTCTTGTTTTCCGTCCTCCAGTAAGTGTTTTTCCTCCGCACAAGTAGAGCTGTGAGCATGGCAAGGCTTTCTCCAAGTGACTTCTTGGCGCTGGATTTTCTTAGCTCATGAGCAGCCGGGCACTCTTTTTCTCCTACTCTTTTCCTCCAGCTTAACGTGTTTTAGTCTGATTAGTAATTTGGAAAAGAAGAAACTCGTCTCTGGAGCTTGACACAGCAATATATTTCCTGTATGATGCACTGAAGCAAAGAGGGAGGAAGCAGGTTTGATTGAGTTATCTTTCAACTCATTGGTTCTTCTCTGACTTCTGCTGCTCACAGATAAACCTTACAATAAGGCGTTGAACGTGCCCAAGATAAATGCTTTTGTTAAAACTTGCATTAAAAAGCGAAACGGAGTTCTTATTTGGAACCCATGCCTGTAGATTTCCTAATCGTGATAACATTTAGGTTGAAGAAGTACACAGCCTTATAGTTTTCAAGTGTGGAATGAAACATTTCCACCTCAAACTTTTTGGATGAAAGTGATGAGTAGAATAGGAGTCCACACAAACTCTGCAAGCATTGTAAGTGTGTTAATTTTCCCACTACTCTAAGAACCACAAATTTAATAACACAAACTGAGTGTCCTTACTGTCTGTAAACCAGAAGTCTGAAATGGATTTTATGGAGCTAGAATCAAGGAATGAGCAAGGCTGCACTTTCTCCCAGAAATTCATTGAGAGAATCTCTTTCTTGCCTTTCTAGAACCTGAGGAATGTGCATTCTTTGGCTTCTGGACACATTGTTCTGCCCTTTACTGCTCTTCTTCTCTGGTTGTGACCCTCCTGTCTCCTGTTTATTAGGACCATTTGTGATCATATTGGGCCCACTGATACAATCCACCTAAAGATTCTTAATCTAATCACACCTGCAAAGTCCATTTTACCATGTAAATTAACACACTTACACACTTCAGGAATCCAGACATGGCCACCTATCTTGAGGGGTCATTCATTATTCTATGTCACAATTCAGTACACATGGGAATTTGCTTTCAACTTTGAAGACAGATCAATCACTTAATAAAATGTCAAATGAATACTCATATTTTCATTCCCACATATCTGAATTTTTATTTTCCAGAAAACCTCTGCCTAATGTTGCTAGGTAAAAACTTCTGCCTAATTTCTGATTACACTTGAGAGGGGGAAAAAATGTCTACATGGTAAGAATTCCCTACCCAAGAAAAACTCTCCTGGAAAGGGAAGAAAACTTTGCAAACAAGAAAAAGGTTAAAAAGTATGCATTTTTCCCTTAAGTTAGCAGTTCTGTCTTCCTTTTTGACAAACATTAAACTATAAATGTTTTTCCTCCTTCCCCTTCTCAAGTCTCCTTTCCAGTGAGTGAATTTGGCAATGCAAGACCTCAGGATATGAGTTATGACAATGAGCAGGCTGTAGAAATCTTCTTTTCTGTTCAGTGTTTAACCAGATGTCAAAAAATCAGTGAGGAAATGTCATTTAAAATATAACACTCTGTTTTTCCTCCCACAAAGGGGTTAAGAAGATGATTTTGACAGTAGACAAACCTAAATTTCAGTTTCCATTATGCAATCACAAATTCAGTGGTACTGGGAAATTTCTGAATCAAATCTGACTCTTTAATTTATATTGACAAGCTTTTTCACAAAGCATCATTTTGATGATCATTTATTTTAATGCCTGCTCAATAACACAGCCAAAATTAAAGCACAGAATGGTTAAATGACCTGCTGAAAGTCTCAGAGTGACTTGGTAGCACAGCTGAAAGTCAAACATTTAATGTGAACCAGTCATAGTTCTTTGAATCTAACTAAGTACTGCTGATGCACTATAACAAATGAGGAAGTGTAAAAAAGCTAGATGTTTGCTCTCTTAGCCACAGCCCATTTTCTGTTTTCCAATTTACTTCTCTGCAATCTACTTTGACCCAAGCTCTCAAGGCTTATCTGAAATAATGGAACTTCTCCTATGCACAGTCATTAACTATACTAGTTGGTAACTTAAAAGAGCCCCACGGAACTTTTATTTCTATTTTTGTGTTCTATTGTTCTATTGATATCTTAAAATTTTTCACTTCTGATATACAATGTATCTGTATCACCTATATAAATTGTCCCTAAAAAATTAGGAAAAATATATGCCACATGAAAGTTAATGATTTTTATTATAATTATATATACTCTACAAAAAGAAAAACAGGAATAAAAGTTTGAAAATGTATATATCAAATAAGTAATCAAAACCAGAACAGAGAAATTAATAGCCATACTTTACTTGTTGCTAAATTTCAATGCTAGACCACACTGATCATACTTACAGTAAATAACATTTGTCAAGCCCTAAGTTTAACACCTAAACTTCATTTATAAATGAACTTTATAAATATTGCTTCATTTTATTCTCTCAACAATCATAACAATCATTATTACATTCTTATTACATTTTTACATTATGTAATATTACATTGTTACAATTTAAGAAGTTGAACCTGGGCTGCAGACATAACTCTGGCACAGTGCTTATCAAGAGCAAGGTCCTGAGTTCAATTCCCAGTGCAAAAACAAAAAAAAGAAAGAAAGACAGACAGACAGAATTGAACCCAGAAAAGGTAGATAAATTTTCCAAATATATAAAGTAGATAAGCAACAGAAACAGAATTCAAGTCCAAAAATATCATCCTGATCTATCTCTTAGTTATGGTGACTAATTAGACTCTTTCTTACTACCTACTTTTTAATTCTGTCTTGTCTCCAGTACAATCCTCCACGAATAAATAAATCTTCCATTTTCCATGAATAGATAAATCTTCACTCACTTTCCTTCCAATTGGGCAATCTTATGATTTCACCATTGTTCTATTAGTTTAAATAAACAAAACCTATGCCCTGTCTCTGATCATCTATTTTATATTAAGTTTACACTCTGCTGCCCCCTGCAGAAAATTTGAGAAAAAAATGCTAAGATTTTCATAAACTTATTTGACAAATTTAATAAAAGCTGCACTTTGAGATTTTCATCACAGAGTATGGTAACATGCCCAAACACTGAACTTGAATTTACATCAGTTGGATATTAAATACAACTAATGGCTACTTTGATGAATAGTATAGTACCCAAAGAAGTTATTTAATAAGATAATTATAATGAATATGAGAATAGTTTCATACAAATATTAGCAAAAAGATGGATGAAAGGATGGATGGATGGATGGCTACATGGATGGATGGACCAATGATAAATTCCATGCCGCATTTCAGGAAAATTTGAAAATTGTCATCAGTGGTTACCGTTGGAAGCTAACTCTGAGATGGAGTTTACTATGAAGGATTTTTTAAGGAAAAACTTTAAGATACTCTCTTGTAGAAATAAAGGGACAGAACTGGTGTGGGCGGGAAAGAAGTCAAATTGTAGTATATAGGTAGACACCTCACTCAACTAACCCCCTGCAGAGCTCTGGAGCTTAAATTACCTTTTAGAGTTGTCCTGTATTGACCCAAAATGGGCAGGCTTTTGTAGTCCTGCATCTGTCAGTCACTGAAGATAGGCACAAGGAGGACTGAGACTTAGGTGAGGCAATCCATTGTGGGAAACAACTGGAGCAACTCCCCTTGAATGCAGAGCAATTGCTGCAATTTTGAGCATATAGATCATTTTGCTTATACTGATATGTACAGAGCTGACTATGGTATTTCCTTCTCTCTCTAATTGTCTCTAAGCATTGCAAATAAGGCTACAGGAGGTACTGATATGTAATCTCTAAAGCCATCAGTCTCCTGTTTGCTCTAATAGTGCTCTCTTTAAAATATATAAGCACTGCTGGACGTTAGAGTCATCAGCTCCAGGAATGTCAACTGGGTATGAACCCCAAGGTAAAGAGGCTATGACTTCCCAGGGCACAAAAATTTACATATCAGAAACAGAAGCAACAGCCTCCTAAAATAATTCCGTTGCTATCTTAATTGAATTATGCAAATTGATCCTTCTACATATCCTTATCTCTGCATTTTGCAGAGATGCTTTTCTCCCTACCTGTCCAGCCAGCTCAAGTTACTCTCGTATTCCTGCCATCCTCACTGTCACTCGAGCCACCCTCCTTCTTCACAAGATAATAAATTCTGGGAGAGGCCGAGGATCAGGGCCTTCATCCACTTATCCTCAAAGGCATTGGATTTAGGACCACTTGGCTGACTTTCACTTGGACTATGTCTTGGTGTCTTTACTCTTGCGATGGGTTGCACTGGAGGTGGAAGCTTGGAATTAATTTGCTGGGATTCAAATAACACCTCAATGGGATTTTAAATATAACTTTTTGAATTGTGAAGAAGATTAGGAAAGGAACTACAGTACTTGGATGACTGTACTCAATATTTGGGGATTACAGTAATCCGTGAAGGAGTTATACTATCAACACTATCAGCATTAGAGATACAAAGTCCTTCATTGAGGAGCCTCTGATTATGTGCCATGTAGAAACATACAGTGGTATTCCACTCAACCAGTCATGTTCACTCCCAAGAAACTAAATGAAAGGAAGTTTTATTAAAAGTATAACTTTGAAGAAGTTCAGCATTATGATGTTTTCTATTTGAGGCAGTTATTTTTATTATAAATAGCAACTGCAAAGTCCAGAAAAATACAGAAAAAAATGTTTTAAATAAAGGAAACTTTGTCGTATGTCTTGCTTAAAAACTAATATCATGGCAAACCATTCTAAATAAATATAAATATCATCTGGTTTCCAAAAATTTTGAATAGTAAAATCAAGAAGGGCAGATAATTTAAAAAGAATATTAGAGATAGAGCAAAGAAGAATACCTTAAATATCTCAGGCAGTGTAACATTAACAAATGAGCCAAATGTGATGGCACATGCCTGTACCCCAGGGTATCAGTGAGTGCTCACTAAAGGAATAGACTTAACGCAAGACATACATCAAGATATACAAAACTATGTAAGAATTTACAAGATATGCTTACAATGGCCACCTGCAGAATCAAGAGTGGAAAACTCCAGAAGGTCTGTCTGTGTGCTGGAGATCCAAAGGGTCTGCCTGGAGCTCACTGTAGTGTCCTGTCTAAGTCCTATCAGGAGGCTGAAGGTCTACAGTGGGAGGCTGCAGAGTCTGTACTGGAACAGGAGATAAGGTGTGGTGAGTCTTTCTTCGTCATTGTCTTTTTGTACCTTTCAGGTGGCCAGCCTATGGAGGATGGGTCTTCTGTCTTCAGTAAATCCCCTCAGTCACATCCAGAACTATGCTG